GTGCTCACCGCAGCGCGTGTCAAGCAACTGAAGCAGAGCTTAAAGGTAAACAAACAGCGGTTTATCATAAGCATTTTATCAATAATTTTTTACACAGTAGGCATTTAGAAGGTAGATAGAAATGTTATCTGACTAACATCAAGCAGCTAAACGTGTCTGGAAAATATTCAAAGACTTTTATTTTCCTAAACAGCGCGGATGTGAATGGGTCAGAATGTTCTGATTTGCTGGAGTAAACCTGAATGCGCTCTTTGCGGCAATTTTCGTTCTGCGTTCACACAGAGCAGCATTCCGGCAAATTAATGATAATGTTACAACTTCTCTTTCTGGAAAATTGCCGGAACAAATTTTCCGGAAAGGTCTGTATGTCTGAAAGGGGTAATTGATTTTCATATTATTTGTTTTTCGTACTATTGAAGTAAATGACTGGTTTTCAGCTTACTTTAAAATACCTTCTTTAGTGTTCAATAGAAGAAAGAAACACGTAAAGGCTTGGAACCACTTGAAGGAGAGTAAACAATGTGCAAATTAACATTTTTGGAAGAACTATCCATTTAAGTCTCAATTGTCACTATGAACTACTGGCATATTACCTGCATATTAATAATATGACAAGATAATGACTGTTTATTAGAACTTAACAAAGACTGGGGGGCGGTTCATCTTCTAGCAGGACAATGACCCAAAGCACACCGGCAAAATATTAATGGAGTGCTTTAACAACAACTTGGTGAATGTCCTTAAGTGGCTCAGCTAGAGCCCATACCTAAATCATATTGAACATCTCTGAAGAGATCTGAAAATGGCTGTACACCATCACTTCTCATCCAACCTGATAGAGCTTGATAAATACTGCAAAGAGGAATAGACAAACATTCTCAAAGACAGGTGTGCCAAGCTTGTGGAATCCGATTTAAAAAGACTTGAGGCTGTAATTGCTGCCAAAGGTGCATCAACAAAGTTTTGAGCAAAAGCTATGAATACTTATGTACATATGTTTCTTCAGGTTTTTTTTATTTGTAATAAATTTGCAACAATTAAAAAATAAATAAAAAATAAAAAATCACATTGTCATTATGGGGTATTGTGTGTAAGATTCTGAGGAAATAAATTAATTTAATCCATATTGGAATAAGGCTGTGACAAAAATTGTGGAAAAAGTAAAGCTCTATAAATACTTTCCAGATGCACTATATGCTGGATAAGTAGGCGACTCATTCTGCTGTGGCAACCCTTCATGAATAACGGGACTAAGATGAGGGAAAATGAATGAATGAATGAATGAATGAAGTAAGTACAGAAAATAGGCCTCAGTTTATAACACTCACTGAACAATCCAGATGACCACATTTGGGTGGTTGTGTATTGTATATACAAAACCTTAAAAATGAAGGTCATGTTGAGCAGAAACTCATCTTTTAACCCAGACAGCACTACTAAAAACATATCCATGAGTGCTCACACTCCCTGAACCTTCAAAAAAGTTGGCTAACAGAGAATTAAACTTTTCTTTTAACTAATTTTCAGGTTATTTAATACATGTTATTTGGCCCGGGCAGGGTGACAGGGCAATCTTGCGCCAAAATAATCCAGGTTTCGTCAGCGAAGGCTGTGTCAGATTCCACAGCACACATCATCAAAACACACGCCTCTCGAATCCACATTTCTAATCCCTGCCGCCTGCCAAATATAAATAAATAAAACTCTGGTGGTTCTCAATAACCTTTTCATCCCTCACCCCATCAGCCACCGACAAGCCAACACATAAACGCTTATCTCCTCAGAACAACGCTGCACATTATAATGATTGCATGGGCGCGAGAGGAGAGCTGGCCGCAGCGGGCACACTGGCAGACACTAGGTAAAGCAAAAACAGAGGGATCAGTCGGATTAAAGGATGCGAGAGCCATATCGAAGCCCACACTTTAGGACAAGTCGAGACGATTCACCTTGAGAACGACACCAGCTAAATCAAACTCTCCAGCTGTTTGCCTCTCTCCGCTGATTCTGTTTCTCTCTCTCTGCTGGAATATTCGGCGTGTTGCTATAACAGCATGGTGTGCTTTTCAGTTTTCCCGGCAGTCATCCAAATTAAAACAATTATAGAGCTAATTGCCCGTTAGGTGGAGCCTGCCGGGGCGTCCATGCTCTGATTTGTAGAATCACTCATGCGGGTCGTCCTCTACTGTGATGGAGCTGCCTGGTCTTGCTGGTGCTGGAATCTTAGCCGGCCAGCCGATGGACAGGCAGATGGGCAGGGGTTGGCACAGGTGCACACCGTGATGCAAATTAGGCCTGGCGCTGGCGCGGTGTGAAGACAGGGGAGATTGAGCACCGTGACGCAGCGATGGCGTGCCATATGGAGCTGGAGCTGACTGCTCTGTTTACCAGCGGTCGAAGTCAGTTACACACACGCAAGTGGGCCGAAACACTTTCAACCATGGGCACGAGCCAGCAGAGCGTCCCAACGGCAGCTCGGGCCAACATTCCACCACACAACATGTGACCGCTTGATGACCTGTCGCCACAGCTTAGTATGTGTCAAATCAACAGTCATCCATCCTGACCTTTTGCATGTGTGGGAGAATCTGTTAATTAAACCAGCCTCAAGCTTAGTTGTCTATATTCAAATCATTTTCTCAAACTTGTGCTGTTCTAAATCTGATTGACTTCATTCAGATTAATTTTATTGTTTATTTGTATTCACTACTGTTAAAGAGAGACTAAAAAATAAACCAAAAGATCCTGAATTAGACATTTGACATTCTGAAAGTTCCAAAATTCAAGCTTTTTTAAAAGCTACAGTACGAGTGAAGCTGATAGTGAAGCTGATAGTGAAGTTTATTCAGATTTAGGAAACTTATATTCTCCCTGCATCCGAACATAAGCTTTTACATACTTTTGCAATAGGTTAAAAAAAAGTCTAGTTTGTCAAAAATAGTATTGATAAAACAGTTCGCAAAAAGGTTACATCTGAAATGTTCTTTCAATAGACACTTTAGCATCCAATGAGGCCACTTGAGTATGTTTGTGAATAAATCAAGATAAAGCACAACAATGGATACAATAGGCAGTAACAATACTGCATGTTTTAAATGTGCTGTATGTAAGTTTTTGACTCTTCTAAAGCAAAAAAAAATAAAAAATCATAATATGTTGGCGCCAGTGGTGTAGTGGTTAGTGCATCGACACACGCACTACGGTGCTCACGGCGACCCGAGTTCGATTCCTGTCTTTTACTGATCCTTCACCTCTCTCTGCTCCCCATGCTTTCCTGTCAATACTCTCTACAGTCCTATACAATAAAGGTGAAAACCCCAAAAAAAAAAAAAAAAACATGAAATATTTGCAGATCTATAATACACATGCCAAGGGAACATGCTTGTTTGTTGTTTTGGTAATTTTAACCTGCCCAATGCCAGTTTAGCCAGTCACATTTCAGCACCTTGTGTTGCCTTGTTGGAAAACCGCGTATTTCATTCATTCATTCAGAAAGGCTCTCAAAGCATGCGCATTCAACTTCCGGTGGACAGTAGAAGACTTCGAAATGAGACAGATTCACATGAGGTTATTATTTGGCAAATGATATGAATATACAAATGTAAATATTAGGTGAGCAGGTTACATTGTAACCCTGGGTCCTAACAACATGTCTTTTGATGAATTACACAGTGATAAGCAATTTGCCTGTTTGTATCAGACGAAACACGACAGAAATATAAATACAGCCATTCAGAAGCACAGAATAGTACACTCATTCACAAAATGGTGAGGTTTATAATCTAATTAATACATATTAACCCTCTTTACCATTATTAAATGTAGATGCTGAATCCCTCATGGAGTATGTGTTTAGTTCTAAAGTTCAATTTCAAACTGTTTATTTTATTGTCAAGATCTGCGGTGAAGTTTCAGCTGCTGCTTTCAGTGTATGGCAATAAATAGCATTTAAATTCACATTGTTAGCATTTAAACACTGAATAAAGCACATGAGGTTTACCTAAGGTGATCAATGTCATATTTTTCTGTTGTTCACCTCTTAGAAATAGAAGCTGCTTCTAATATATCAATTCGAGGTGTTGCTTAGAACGAAAACTCCCTTTAATATGGAAAATATTTCTTCTATCGGGTGCCGCTGCTTTTATTTAGAGCATGGTTTAAATCACTTACTCCTGTCCTCAATCTGGCAACCTGCGCTTGCATTTGTTTGGATCCAGGAGTGCAATACCTAGTAGTGTCGAACTTACATACTGCACCTTTAAGTCTAAATTGCATTCACTCTACATATATAGTCATACTATATCAAATTTAACTTTATAGCATTATTGAAACACCAAATGTAGAACCTACTACACAACAATTAGTTAAAATTACCAAAAATGTAATAGCAGACCGACCACATATATGATAAATATTTTAGTTTGATCTCATGTGACCTATTTTATAGTCCTGCTATAAAACAGTTCAGTTTGATAAACAGTACAGTAATGCTGTAGTGCAGACTGATTAAAGATGACAGACACAGCAAAAAGATGAATAACTGATCAAAGCCTAATTATTCAGTGACATAATCAACAACAACCTGATTAATCATTAAAAACATATCAAAATAATATTTTGTTGCTGCCTTACTATACAATATTCGAATTTGGATTATAAATGTTTTATTTTTCCACAAAGAATCCTCAAGATTTGATTAATAGTGCACAAGTCAATTGTACTATTATATCTATGCTTTCTTATAGTGCTTGTGTGTCTTTTTGAAGCCTAAAAGCATTTATTGTAATTTCCCTGAAAAATGACTGACCAGAATATATTTCCAAATACCTTCGCTGATGTTCTGCAGAAGAAAGCAAGCTTTGAAAAAACATGAGGGTTATTAAAATACAGAATTTTCATTTGTGTGTGAGCTATCCCTTTAAGAGAGACACAAAACAACAAAGACAGAAGAGGAAAGGGACAACAAAAGCAAGTATAAACACAAAGAAATGGGGTCTTGCCTCAGCAATCCGAATCCTTTCTTCTTGGTCTTCTTATCCAACTCATCACCGACCTCCTCTGATTTCTTTTTCTCCTTCTCCTTTCCTTTGCTTTTCATCTTCTCTTTCTTCTTGCTTTTGGCCTTTTTCTTTTTGTCTTTCTTGTTCTCCTCATTGTCTCCCGCACCTTGTCTGGAGGAGCCGCTGGCTGGAGTGTCTCGTCCAGAGCTCTGCTCTGACCCCTCATCTGTTTTTAAAACAAGCAAACATACATATGAATATACAGAGTTGGGGAAAATAAATTCCGCAATAAAAATTGGTGATAAAGTGCATATTTTAATGGCTGATGCATACTATTGATTAGGGCTGCACGATATACTGAAGGTAACTTCCATGCACATTTTGTCAGTAAAGTCAGTTATGTAGTCAGTATATTTCTAGCTCTGCTTTCAAATGAATCAGTAATCATCTTGTCATGAACTGTTTCTCAATTCCAAGAACGCAGACAACAGACTTGTGTTCTTGTGAAGACTGTTCTTGCCAAGTTACCTCAGAAGAATGAACTTGGGAGACCGCAGGAACAGAGAACATGTCCTGTGAGAAATAAGGTGCAGCGTTCTTCCGGATGGTCACATGACCTTTACGTATATGTAACTAAAAACTATTTAAACATTACAGTATTCATACAACAATTTTTTGTTTTTCGCCTTTTCACAATATATTCTACGAATAAAGACCTTACAAATAAATGCAGCACAACACAAACAAAACAGATTTTAATATAAACTTCAAAAAGTAAACACTCTTAATGTGTTAATGCCTTTATTATAATGATAATTATGATTTTCATGGTGCCATTTAGGGAAACTCCTGAGATAAACAAGTTATATCTCTGAACTTTACTAATAAATCTATATAAAATGCTGCACTTCCCACCGCTTATATTCAGTTGCAATGACTTCAGGAACTTCTCGAGCGAGTTCGGTACTCAAGTCTGCATCGGTGTGTCCTCGATATCAAGAACACAACTGGGAACTACTACACATCCTCAGTTCTCGCGGTCTTGAGTTTTGAAACTAAACTTTGGCAGTTGATGATGACGTAAAGAACGCAAAAACATGAGGATGCAAGAACACTGAAGAAGGTATATTGAAAAACAGCCATTTTGACAGCTGTCTGCATAATTTGCTGCTATATATGAAAGCATGTAAAAAACAAAATTTTTAACATACTTTGACAACAAACTCACTTCACACCTTCAATTGAGTGTTTGAAATAAATAATTCTGTAGTTCTGTTTTTATTAGTCATCAATAAAATCAGTTAAAGAGCCCATATTATGGGTTTTTGAAATGACCTTCCATGCAATGTGTAACAGCTCTAAGTGAAGTGAAGTATCCAGTTAAGGCTTAAATCTGAAAGTGCACCGTTTAAAACTATTGCTTCATCTATAAAAGAGTCGACTCATAGTGGTTCGAACAAATCGAGATAACGAGTCTTTAGCCATGTCAGCGTGAAATCAATGCAGAACTCAAACCCTGCCCACTTGTTGTGCGCGCATACACGGGAAAATTGAAACCCCCGGCCCCGCCCACAAACACTGTATAAAGGAAAAGAGGAAGACAAACAGTGTTGAATCATGTTGCGAAGACACTAGGCTCTAAAGTATAAGGGAAAGTTATTTTCTCTACGCATTATAGCATTATAGCCCCCACCTTGTGCTGTGTTCCTGTCATTTTTCTGACGTGTGATTTAGCAATCTACTTGCTTACAAAGGGGGATTAATCGGCCATTTGTAAAGGAAGGATCAGAAAAGACTATTGATGTATAGGACTTTGTCAGTGCTTGACAGGAACTTTACAGTACACAGTTTATGGATCAGTTTCTTCCTCACTTCACAAGTGTACTGTAAGTAAGTGCGATAAAATGGCTGCGTCCTTGTTTTCTCTAGTTTGCAAATGATGTATTTAATTGTGTTTTGTTACTTGTAACTGCTTGTACTGTATCTGGTTAACTCTTTATATTTTTATATTGTGTCTAAAACCAAGTTGAAACGGACTTAAATGCGTTTGTGAGCTCGCCATCCTCTGCCCTCTGCGTTGCTATGACCACTGTCAGCTGTTCCTACACACATGCGGCGGTCAAGCTTCAAAATAGTTCAGCTTTTGCCACTGTGTGGATTTATACTGAATGTGTGTCATGGTAAAGAATAGAGTAATATGCTGGTATTAAACTGCACTCTGACTTCTGTAAAATTGTTGATAAGCCGTGGTGGGCTGTTCTCTCTGTTTCACGGTGAACGTACTTGACCAATTAATGCATTTTTAATGCATCATAGGCGCTTTTTAAATCTTGTCCCTTCTTTGTAGTGTATTTGCAGTTTCTACACAAGAGCATCCTCTGGCCTTTTGAATGTATTAACCACTGATCACAGAGCCATGTTTACCTGACAAGATGTGCATGAGCATCGTAGATTTTGCTTATTAGTGATTTTTTAATAAAATTTGATTAAATGTACAACCTTACTATCAATGCAGGAAATATTAAATCTTCTTTACTTTTATCTATTTAGAGACTGTTTGCATTATGACTCAAGTGATACTTCAAGTTCTTTAGCCAATGCATTTTGCCTAATTACTTTTCACACCTACCCTTTCTAGCCACCTGCTTTTAATAGGAGCATAACCAAATAAATAGGGAAAAATACATATTTCCATTAGCATTTATATTCTATAAGCTGCACTAATTTATATACCCGCTTAGAAATGCCAGAACATAAAGCCAACTGGCTAGCAGATTTCAATTTTCACACAGTATGTACATTAAAACTGCCATGTCTAGTGTGGCCTATATCTTGGTTGAAGTCATGGAAATATAAATGATCTCTGCACAGATATTTTTTTCCCCAGCTAATCTGCCTTAGAGCATCAAAAAGTTGCTCACATTATCATTATAAGAGGGAAAAAAAGGGCATGTGATGATAACTGGACAGAAAGAGAAGGAGGAAGAAAAAGATAAGGACTGGATGGAAAAAAAAGTGAAAAAAAGAGGCTTGGGTAACTGAGGAACCTGCTGACACAACCATCTGTTACTGGCTATCCACAGTGGAGCACGGTGTGTGTGTGTGTGTGTGGCGATCAATCGTTGCTGCATTATGTGTCTGTGCTCTGAGGTTTGTCAGATGGCGGTGGCGGTGCTGGGAGCAGATGTACGTTTACCAGGCCGCCTTGGAGAGTGTGTTAAAGAGAGATGAGAAGACGTGCAAAAAAGCATCAGTCTTTCATAAGCCTCTCAGCGACCGTCTTACTAACCCTCCACTTGTTGCTCAGGGGAAGGTCCCGACAGCCCTGAACACCGTGATTTATTGATGGTTAGTTGAATCTTATAGGACAAAATATGACAAGGGAACAGACAAAGAAATTAGAGAGTGAAGACATAAGAGATTGAATGAAAGTTTACAATTGTTGGTCAACCAATAAGTATTTTTTTTTCCCAGTGAAGAGATTAATATTTTACTTGGCATAACTGTTTTGGGGTGAAACTACTTTAATAAACCAGCTGATGCTTAGTAAACAGTTTTACACTGTAGTGCTTTTTTTTATGACTCTTACAAGCCAGATTTGTTTGTGAATCTAAATATACAATACACTTGTCCAATTTGTAAACAACTTTCTCTAAGAAACTTTGTGAACATGTACAAAAATTAAAGATAAACATTACAAGTAGTGATTTATAAACAGTGGGCCCACATTATGTGTAATATCACTCACTTTTAGTTATATTAGAATAAAAACATAAACAAAAATTCATACTAAAATCATATATTTAGTAGCCCTTTATTTTGATGGTCCATTTGAGTATTAGTATTTTGTCTTCTTAATATCTGCTGATACTGCTCCTTCAATAGACATTTAACTGACTATGAGAAACTTTGCAAGTACATGTAAACTTATACTAACCCTAACCCTTAACCCAACCTAACAGTCTACTTATAATCTAATGAGAATTAGTTGGCATGTAGATGCAATGAAACTTAAACTCAACAATCAGACTATCAAAATTGTTATGACCATATGTTTAAGCTTGTCTACTTAGCTTAGACAAGTCCTTTGTATAGTGTCTTGGATAAATGGAGGGTGGGGGTGCACTGGGCTCAATAACATTGTGAACTGTTGAATTGCTTTCCTATTCAAATCAAGTGAATAATGTAGTGTATTATAGCCCCTCACATCCACTACGCTCAATTAACTCTTGACAATTGATTATTCCCAGAACATCAAAATCAACTGTGGGTGCTAAATCTTTTTTCATATCTGGCACCCAAACTCTGGAACAGCCTTGCTAGCACAGTTTGGGAAGCAGACACACTCTGTCAGTTTAGAACTATATTAAAGACACATCTTTTTTGCATTAGCATACACATAAAACACAAATGCTTTTGAAATCCTCTAAAGGATTGGTAATCTGCATTATTTAGGGCAAACGGACCCGGGGACACTTCTCTACAGACATTATAATTTGAACAGGCAACTGCACTTATGCTTATCTCTTTTCTTATTCCAGAGGTTTCCATAATCCTGGACCATGCTGTATTCTGAGCAGCTGCTGTGGTGGTCATGGAAGAGTGGAGAGCATAAGGCTGATTCCTGTAAGACCCCAGTGACAGACGAGTCTTCGCATTGATCCTGAAGGGCCAGCCTGTACACCAGCAGGTGACCTCTCCTACCTGCAGCTTCTCCACGATGGACGTCCAATGTTCTTCAGCCTCCGGTGCCTGACAGCAGCTCTGCACAAGAAGTTTGGCTATAGGAGAAATGGTCATGCCCAACCAAGCCTGGTTTCTCTCGAGTTTTTTTTTTTTTTCCTTCACCTTCGCAAATTGGTGAAGTTTGTTCCTCGCCACTGTCACCACTGGCTTGCATGGTTCGGGATTTGTGGAGCTGTGCATGATGGATTTGCTCTTCAGTGTTTGAACTCTTAGCAGTGAATATTAAACCACATTGAAACTATGTAAACTGAACTTCACCTCTGAAAACTGAACTACACTGTTTTGATCTGTGAAGCTGCTTTGACACAATCTGCATTGTAAAAGCGCTATAGAAATAAAGTTGAATTGAATTTAAAAAATTCATAGCACTTTTCACAATAATTATCGTTCCAAAGCAGCTTTACAAAATTAGCAAATTATTAATGGTGTTAAGTATACGGTGGAGCGATCAAGCAGAGTCACATTTAACCTGCCATAATA